CCTGTTCATCTTTTTTTCACTTTCTTTTATTTATTAAGGAAAAAATTCAATAAAATTGTATACAAAAAAATACAAAAAACTATATATAATTGATTTATTGTTTCAACAACATGCTCGGCTCATCCCCTTTGTTTTTCCGCCGGCTTTTATGCGATTTCTTGTCGTCGGATGATGCCAATAAATTTGTTTTTCATATGTATCAAATTCAGCGTTAAATGCAAGCGAGGACCACAAAGGGAGCGAGGGAGCCAACGCTTATTCAAGGGATCATCACCCAAAACGCCACTGTCCTCGATTGTGATGGATGGCAATTGCCCTCTGAGGGGCGAGGTATATTCGTTTTGTGAAATCTGATTTACATTTTGAACGGATTTAAGGTGTACATCTTTTGAGAAAATAATTAAATTATATTAAAATAGTTTATTTATTTTTTTTCACTATTATTATTATATTTTTTAAGCTAAAAATGCCATAATTTCAATTTGAAAAACTGTTCGGTGCTAGTTTTAATTGGGTTAATAAATCTGCGTAATAAATTAATAAATTTAAAAAATATATTATTATTAAAATTATTATTATTATTTATTTAAAAGGTATCAAACCTTCGTATAAAATCCCCACAGCTTATACATATGTTTTTTACATTTCCCATTTGGCAGTAAACAAAGTTCAATACAATTTTGCAATTGGAAGTCAGGGAGCGAGTAGTGAAACTGTTTTATGCAACAAATGGATTAAAAAAAATAGGCAAAACCATATAAAATAAAGAAGAAAAGTATAAATAAATCGGCCTGCAAATGTGCATTCCCTATGCGCTGCTGCATTTGTACCAATGTGTCCTTGAAAAAAAAAAGGGTAGACATTAATTAATTTCGCATTTCCCCCCTTTGGTATCCCGGGATACATTCCAATCACAATTTGTGCCAACAAATTGAAGAAGAATTCCCGCTGCCTTCCTCCTGGCTCACAGCTCCTGGCTCTTAGCTCTTGGCTCCTGGCTGCGCCATAATCACAAAAGCCGGGCTGAGCTGGTGGGAGGAAGCCAAGGGTGATTAATTAGTTGCGCTGGAAACGGATACAGTCGCTCTTTTATATCACAATTGATATTTGAGTGCTGCTAACAATTATGACCCTGCAACACACAGATGTCCCCCAAAAAGGGGGAAACCCCTTTAACAAATATACAAAATATAGTAAAAATAATGGGAAATGTACATTTAACAAAATTTTAACTTTATTCTTAGTTGTTAAGAGATTGTTCTTATTTAAAACAAATAAAGCTAAATGAATTGAACAATGAGTATTGTAAGAACTTAATATTTTCAACTTTAAAAATATAAAATGTTTTCTAAACTTTTCCTTAGATTTTCTTATTTAAAACAAAAATTTAATTGAACTTTATATTTGAAAAACAAACTAATTTAAGTGTAAATAATTAACAATGTCTTTCTGAAACCATTTAAATATTTTCGCTTTTATGATATTTATTTTTTTAATATGAAATTATAAAATAAATAAATCTTTTGGTAAATATTATGTTTATTGTGCACTTTGAATGCAAGTGTATTTACCACCTCGTTTAGGGTTTCTCTAAAAATGTTCGACTTCTTTTTGACTCCTCAATAAGGAACTAATATGGGACCAATAACACATAACATGTCTTCAGCCACATATCAAGTTTATTAGAAGTTCGTGAGGTCCTTCAAAATCGATTTAAAGCCCGCACATTGTTATGTGATTTCTTTTGAAATCCCCTCCAAGCATCCAACTCCTTTTTCAACGACTTGTTGCGGCCAGAAAAAAATATGTAATAAATTCCAATCTAACTCCTATTATTAGTTTCTTCAAGAAATATAACACTAAGGAATTTTTTACTGGCAAAAAACTAGTAGAAGTAAATTTAATAAAAATGCGGAAATTGAATAAATTCCATGATGCGCCCAAGGCCGTAGTTGCAGTTAGAATTTTTATATATTTGTGACTGGCAAATATTTACATAACATCATGTGTAAATATGCATGAATAAATCAAAATACAAATATTTGGGAATAGATATATATACTCGAGAGCAAATATAAGGATTTATTTTTATGTACACACAAGTGGCCCTAAGAAAAGGCTCACGATTTAGACGAAAATGCCAATGACTTGTAATGATATCAAGAGCTCTTAACAGGGCTCCTTCCTTTTTTGGTTTCTTTTTTTTTTTGACGAATTCCCCATTTATTGCGTTCGTTTGAAAACGTTCTGTCGGCTTTGGGTTTGTTTATGCTTTACTCTTTTGTTTAGACACTTGCTCGCACAACTCGCAGCTGATAAACAACATTTTCGGCGCTGGCCCACTATTTGCACATTACGCATACGCCACCGTGTGCTACGCCGCCGGCAAGGCAAAAGGTTTATGCATTCGCATTCGCTTTGGAATCAACAGCAGCATCAGCAATCGCATTCAAATTCATTTATTTGGCATCGACAGGCGCGGGTACATTCCAAAAACCCATTTTATGCCGCCCTCGAAAAACATTTGACACAGTTCTGAGCGTAGCAACTTTTGTTACGAGTCAAAGAGACGTGTGGCACTTGACAAGAGGGGGGATTTTACACAGCAATAATCGCAGCGAAACAAAGGAAGAAGCAGGAAAGTAAATTTAATTAATTGACATTGAGAATAAAATGAACAGCCAAAATGAACAGCCTAAAATGAACACTATAAAGAGGAATTTAAGCAACTAAACAACTAGTTTAATAATAAAAAGGAATTAAAATAAACACCTTTACATTAAATAACTAAATTGAATACCATAAATTAACACATAAATTGAGAGTAACATGAAAAGCCAAAATGAACAGCCAAAAATGAACACTAAAATGAAGAATTTCAGCAACTAAACAACCTTTTCAATAATAAAATTGAATTAAGGATAACTCCTTTACATTAACTAATTGAATTGAATACTTTAAACTAATACTTCAAAAAAGACGTATTGTAATTAAATAAAATGAACAAGAAATAGGATGAATACTTTAAATAAATGAACCCCTAATAAATAATATACGAAAACATAATATAAACATTTAAAGTGAACATTCAAAATGAACACTAATCACTAGAAAGAAATATTATTTGATGATCTTGAGGCAAACCTAGGTCCTTGACCTATATTAATTTATACCAGGTAGTATATAGAAAAACCTCCCAGAGCCAACCCTCCCCTTCCAATGCATCCGGGATAATGGACTTCCGGACCAGATGTGGTCGAGATGGGACTGCAGTACCACAAGTGGCACAATTTGATTACAAGAACGTTTAAGTTGGCCGCAGCCTTTGGCCGATAATGAGGGGGTTCGAGCGGGTGCAGGTGCAGGTGCCGGTGCACATCCAGTGGGCAGGATGGTAATGGTGTCCCAGGTGCAGTTACACGTTCAGTTCATTAGAAAGGGAGAGAGAAAGAGTCAGGGACGTTTAAGGCCGCCGATGCCGCTGAAGCTGCAGCTCGGCACACAAAAACACTTCACGACGGCACTTTGGACAATGCTAACGAGCTCACACACCCCGGATCGTACATATGCACGCCCTGTGCGACGCCCCCCTTGAAATATAAATACAAAATGTCGCCATTCTTGCCTTTCCATTCCATTCCTTCCCCCCCACACACACGCTGAGGCACACTAACATATCCTCCAGACATACAAACACATGTAAGATGATGGCACAAGAATGCATTCTTATTTTTCGGAACATTTTTGTGGAAATGGAAATGGGAAATGGATAACGGGCGGGGGGAAAAGCTGACAGCGTGTTTACCATACAATAGAGAAGTTATACCAAGTATGACATGAGTAAATATTTGGACCGCAAATCATTTCATATAGATATGTCAGAGGGAGAGAGAGCGTGAAGCTTCATCTTCCCGGCTGGTTTCATAAATATTTAGACTAGCTGCACCGGCATCTGCATTTGCCCCATTTTACCACAACATTTTTCCAGTTGCGCAACGCATTTTCCGGCTGCGCAGCAAGTTTAAGAAGAATAAAGGAATATACTTATTGTAATTCAGGTAAAAAAGTTAATTGCTTAATTCAATGAATTATATAAAGTAAAGTTCAACAGGGGATAAACAGGGGGGGCATAAATAATAACAAGAAAGGATGCTAACTTTGAGAATTTCGATTCATTTCGGTGGAGATGGAGGACATTTCATTTTTCTTAGCTCTTAAATTCATTTTTCTAGGCTCTTAAACTAAGTAATCATTATATACATATAATATAGCAGCTTTACAATATAGTTAATTTAATTTTGAATAAACTCTAAAAGTGAATATTGAAAGTGAACACTGAATGTGATCACTGAAAGTGAATATTGAAAGTGAACGCTGAAAGTGAACACTGAATATAAACACTGAAAGTGAACACTGAAAGCACGGCAAATAAAAACTTAAAATGATAACTTAAAATTTAAATTTAAAATAAACACTAAAATTAAATATATGGCTAATTAAATTTTTAAATTTAACTTTTTGTTGAGAACTTTAAATTCTAAAATTGGAATCCTTTAGTTAAAAATTCAACAAATGCCCTTATAAACCCTCCCCAAATGAATATAATATGATGACTGCAAAATCCTGATCCACCAGAATGTACCATATCTTAACAATTTGTAACTTTCTCAGCTACTATTTAGTTCCAGATGTAGCTAGTTATAATAATAACCAATTAACCCTCTCGTGCGAGCATCGATAACGATCGTAAATAAATACAAAATTCTGCCGTTTGCCAGCCGAAATAGATATGATAATTTTCCACAATTAATTCAATTCATTTGGCATTTGCATTTCACAATAAAGCCGTTGGCAAAGATTAAAGCAAACAGTTGGCCCAACAGCTGGGATACAAATGCAAAGCGCGGAAACAACACACAAATAAAGGGAGTTTTTTATTTTATCGCCGAAAGTGGTATTTAACCCGCTGAGAGTTTGTTTGCCAAACGATTAACACTCACCCGCCGGCTGTGCCGCTGCTACAGCTACTTCTGCTTCTGCTTTTGCTGCTGTTTATATATTATATTTTTTTTTTTTTCAAAATCAAATATTGGATCTTACAAAATTGTTTGTTTCAGTTTTTTGGTTTTGGTTTTTTTTTTAAAGAAACTCACGAATTTTTATGCGTTTTTTTTTGGTTATAACTCGCGTTTCGTAGCCACAGGAAAAAAAAGGTTCTTGAACTTGGAAAAAAGTCTTTGAAAACGGCACGAAAATATATTTTTTTGCGAATAGGAATTGAAAAAATGCACTTCTTATTTTTGGGGGGTTTTTCAGCTGCTGCAAATCTGTTGTAAAAGCGTGCGAGGCGTGCGCCACGAGTGCCGAAGCCGTTATGACAGAATCTGCGAGCATCCGAGCAACTTATCCTGCTCGGAAAATCCGAACGGGGGAACAGGCCGAACGGGAAATGCCGAGCGGAAAAGCCGAGCGCCTGTTTTTTTGCGGCTGTGTGAGTGCAACTGCAAGCGTTTAGTGGCGAAAAGTGACACACTGTGGCCAGTTTTTTTATATTTTTTACCTCTTTTTTTTTATGCGGTGACAAAAATCAAAGACCAGAAAATATATTATATATTGTCGGCACGTGATTAAGGGAAGTACTTTGCACCAGAGAAATCTTTCTTGAGACTAAAGTGGTATTTGAACTTTATTTATTAATTTTAATTAAGTTTTAAAATGTAATTATTCGAATTTCTCAAGCCTTAATATGTTTTCTTTATTTTAGTTTGTTAAAATTACATGAAAGTATCCCTTAAAACTTTTTCATTTTTTATTCTTTTTTTTGTTTGTTGGTTTTTATTATTTAAGTTTAAAAATTTTATAATAATATTTCAAGAAAGTGTTTAAAAATTAAATATATTTTATATATTTGATTGTTTTTCAATATATCGGTAGATTCAATTTCTTTGAAAATCTAAACAGTTTTAAAATTATTATTTCAACAAAGGAAATACATATGCCAATATAACAAATTAAAAATAAATATAAAATCGATTAAGATTGGTATAAAAATTGAACAAAATGAATATGCATCGACTAACAAAATTATCTAGGTTTTTTTATTTTGATTCTGAATTTAAAAACAATCAAAAAATCTACTCATCACATAGATATTTAAAATTTAAATTTAATATTAGGTGAAATCATCCCACTGTGCAACAGCTTAGCTGCATGCTCCCACGCCGCCTCGCCCCCTCCCGCTCGCACCGTGATTCCCCCCTCTCTCGCTCTCTCTCTCTCTCTCTCTCTCTAGCTACCAATTTGAGGAAAAGAAGCTTCTGTGTTGTTTGTTTGCCTGTTTGTTTACTGTTTGTTGCTGTTGTTGGCCAACAGCAGCAGCAGCGGCGGCAATGGAATAAAAGTGAAAATAAAATTCCGTTACCGGCAAAATACACTCGCACAAACACACACACACGTTCGTACACACCTAAAACAATCATCAAAATAGCCATGAAAATAGCAAATAAAAAAAAAGACTGAAACAAAGTCGGTGACACTTTTAACCCTCTAAAACACGTGTACTTCTAGCCAGGCAAAAAAAAGTAAATAAATTCCCTGGGCATAAAGAAACACAGTAACAACGAATGCTTTGGTTTTTTGTTCTTTTTAAACATTAAAGGCCGAGATTTGTATGTTATTTTAGTTTCAGAAAATGTTATACAAAAATAAAAGTATAATTACAATTCTGGATTTTTTTTACAAGATTTTAGCTTGTTATAAAATTGTTTACAAGGAATATTACGTATACGCACTTTGGGCAAATAATAATCATAATTAATTGCCTTGCTTAACATTATGCTTTAAATTATGTAAAATATATTTTTTTAATTATTATTATATTGCTTAAATAATTATATTTATTATACAATTAAAATAATTTTTAAACAAATCAATTAATTATGGTAATTATTTTCCCCAGGGTGCGTATACGTAATATTACTTGTAAATACTTATAGAATATATAAAAACAAAGCATATATTATAACTTAAATTTGTTTTTTTTTTTTTCTTTTTAATAAAGAAAATGTTACTTCAAAATTACTCTCTGTTTCTTTCAAATAAAACCAAGCATCAATATTGATAATATTTGTTTGGGATCCACAATTATTTCTGTCCCGTAATGATGATTGACGTGGCAAACAACTCTGAGAGTGGCGCATCTCGGACCTGACAACGAATGATGGATACCCTGAAAGAATGTCTTGGGCCCTGGGATGTAGGCAATGCCTTTGGAACCGGTTCGCACCCCCCGAAAAAGTAGACTAGCAAGTCGCAATTGACGGTGATTTATGTGAATGCCTGAAAAAGAGGGGGCCACAGCTGCAAATGTTGCAGGTGGCAACTCGGAACTGCAACGGGAACGGCAGAAGCCGGAGCACGTGACCGTGCCAAGATGCTGGATACCGGCTATATATGTGTGCTATATATACATATAGGCATATGTGCGCCTCGGTTCGCTGTCACCGGCATGGAGATGTGCGGACGTCACCAGAGCGAGGAGCAGTAGCAGTAGCAGCAGCAACAACTGTTGCAGCAACTTTTGCGACAGCAGCAACAGCAACGACGTCAACATTGGCCTAGTCACGTTTCGTTCCGTTTTGATTCGTACTCGCGCTCCTTTCATTTCGTATCATTTGCCAGGGCCCCAGTCTTCGTTTCAGGTTGAGGGTATCACCTAGGGAAAGGGTATGCACGCACCCACACTTAAGAATAATATAATATTTAATGTGTCTGAGGGTACTTTTGTACAAGGTCAAGGCAAATATATCGAAGGAAAAACAGTTGAAATGACAAAAATATAAAAATATAAAATATCGATATGAAAGTATCGATATCCATGTAATATCGAGAAAAAAACGGGAAATATATATACATATATGGGAAAGATATAAATATAGAATTTAAAATTAAAAATATCAGAATAATTTGATATATCCATATTTAAAATAAAAACAATAATATGAAGTTAATTTAATAAAGTTAATTTTGATATACAGAAATTTGAAATATCGAATTCAATGTCTTAAAAAATCAAAAAATGTTAAATATATAAGAACGGCATTTAATTTAATTTTTAATTTTAATTTAACTTAAAATTTGTTAAGGCTGTTTTTCTGATAAACTATGTTTCGATTTATTGCCCATTTAAATATTGACTAAAGCCTTAAAATATAGATTAATATATCGGTCTTTCACACAAATATCGATACTGGGTAGTTATTTCAAAATATATCCCTAGTATTTTTTTATAATATAATTCATAATCCATTTTTATATTATTAAAGAGAAATATAAAACTTAATATATACGTCTTAAAATTTAAATTCATTTTATTTTTATCATCAGTCATTTCATCTTAATGAAAATATTTACAGGGTAGCTAAAAGATTATTCCCGCCCAAGAAAACCCTCGCTTAGCACTTGCTTTTCAATTTGAACTGGACAAACGGAAAGAACAAAAAAAAAAAAAAAATACTGGAAGAAAAACTGTGCCAACATCGGCCTGCAGTGTTTAATTATAGTCGCTATACTGACCGACTAACTGACTGACTGATGGAATGACGAACTGCCTGACTGACTGACTGACTGACTGACTGACTGGCCTACTCTCTGTAATGCGGTCAAATGCGGCGCTTGGGCTCCTGCTCCTCACGTTCATAAATCAAATGCCACTCACTGGCTCACACAGATTCGCTTTGCGCAGGGACATTGATGTTTGTTTGGGCCAAACAAAAAATTTGCAGGATTCATAAATCAGGCAGGAAGCACTAGAAGGATACGCAGGGCAAGGATGAGATGAAGAGAGAGGCTACTGGCACTTGGTTAAAGTTTATTTTCGAGTTTGTAAATATGAAAAACAGAGAGCGAATAGAGAACAGAGAAAATCCCTAAAAGTATTTTATCTCAGAGCATTGATTTTTCCTTGTTTAGAAAGCTAAAATTGAAATAAAATTATAAAAAGAATATTATCTGGGGAATGGCAGGAAATATATATTTTTGCATTGAAATTGGCCCTGAACTGTGTGTGGCGGCGCCTATATACTAGTTTCGATTAGGCTAATCTTAAGTACTTTTAGTTCTTCTAAGTTTTTGTTTTTATACGCGATTTAAGTGGTTTCTATATATATATTTTTGTATATATATTATTTGCACATCCGACGATCAAGCGGCGTTGACAGGCAACCGGCAACTGGAGGCGAAATCGAAACTGCAACTTGGCTTGAGTTGGCGATTGCGATGATGATGATGATGATGGGATGATGCGGCAACAACAATAGGTTATAATAATATATATACTAGTACCTAGTACTGTTATATATAGCTCTAATGAGTCAAAAGCGCGGCGGCAACAAAGACAGTGACAGGGAAAATGAGACAGAAAGGGAACAATGCTAATGAGAACAACAGATGCTAAGATGCAACAATGTAAATAAAAGGAACCAGAGCAGAGCATAAATAAAATATAAAAAATATAAAAAGGTAATAAAAATAATAAATATAATAAATATAATATATATAATATATATAATAAATATAATAAATATAATAAATATAATAAATATAATAAATATAATAAATATAATAAATATAATAAATATAATAAATATAATAAATATAATATATATAATAAATATAATAAATATAATAAATATAAAATATATATAGAAAATATTATAATAACAAAGAGAATGGAAAGAAGTACCTGAAAGCAACAACGTTAAATATATATTATATAGAATAAAATTGACACTTCTAAGCCATTACATTATTAAGAAAAACAAAAAATCCAAGCTTCAATCATAATAAAAACCACAACTTGGCTAAAAAGCAACAGGCAACACCGCAACAATTTTATCAAGGAATACGGTTAACCACTTTCAACACCCAAAAGTCTGGGAAAGACAACACAAATTGGAGTTTCTGGTAGCCAACTCAAGGCAGCCACAATAGCAGCAGCAACAACAGTTACTACAGCAACACCGATAGCTTTATAGAATATAAATATATATATATATATGCATATATATCTCAAGTGAACTAGCGAC